CCACCGGGAGGAGGTTAGGGAACGTCGTCCTATCAGCAACACAGAAGTCACCCGAACATTGGCCAGATGAAGAGGATGTAGTAGTGCTAGTCACGGAACCACTAGCTGAAGCACTAGTTGTGCTTGTTTCAAGCCCACTAGTCGAAGCCGTAGTAGTGCTAGTTACAGGACCACTAGTTGAGGCCGTGGTAGTGCTAGTCACAGGACCACTAGTTGAAACAGTAGTAGTGCTAGTCACAGGACCACTAGTTGAAACAGTAGTAGTGCTAGTCACAGGACCACTAGTTGAAACAGTAGTAGTGCTAGTCACAAGACCACTAGTTGAAACAGTAGTAGTGCTAGTCACAGGACCACTAGTTGAAACAGTAGTAGTGCTAGTCACAAGACCACTAGTTGAAACAGTAGTAGTGCTAGTCACAGGACCACTAGTTGAAACAGTAGTAGTGCTAGTCACAGGACCACTAGTTGGAACAGTAGTGGTGCTAGTCAAAAGACCACTAGTTGAAACAGTAGTAGTACTAGTCACAGGACCACTAGTTGGAACAGTAGTGGTGCTAGTCAAAAGACCACTAGTTGAGAAAGTGGTAGTGCTAGTCACAGGACCACTGGTGGTAGTAGAACAGAAATCTCCACACCAGTTAAGGAAGCGGAAGTCAGGTCCTTCAAAGTAGTCTTGCATGACAATGCCTCCAGTGGGTTTGAAGTTCACAAGGTTACCGTTGCCCGAAGTACATATTTGATTAGGCGCCAGACCACAGCCACACCCACCAGCGTAAAGCTCACCCGAGCCAGCTAGATCATCTAGCGGGAGGCGGTAGACCGAATCGATGGATTTACGGTAGTAGAGGTAGCCGTCTGGAGCCGCAGTAAAGCTTTCGTCACCTTGAATATCCAGTGGAATGAAAGTCCACTGAGGATCCACAGACCCATCCATCGTAGCATAGGCAACGCCGCCATTCATTCTAACATAAAGTTTACCGAGTGTGAAGCGCAAAATGGTAGGCTCAATAAGAACACCCGAACCACTCAAGGGGGCTATTGGAGTCCACACGCCTCCCTGACTTATGAACCGAGCGATCTGCCCAGTAGCCTTCTCGGTAACATATAGAAGATTCGACTGTTGATCAAAGCTGACTCCAGTATACTCCTTGGAAGGATCGGCCGGAGCGATTATCCGATAAGCATTGTGATTCTTCGGGTAGAAAGCACCAACTTCACCCTCGCTGATGCCAAACACGAACATATCGTTGCCCGAAGCCTCGATATTAGAGAGGGTCTTCTCGGCAACAGGTAACCATTGGTTGCATTGGAGTCTCCAAAGCATACGGATACCATCATCACTAGAGTAGCCAGCTAGGTACCATGCACCATGGTCAGTAAAACTGAAGGACTCGGTAGTTATTTGGCCCACCGGGAGGAGGTTAGGAAACGT